GGTCGATGCCGGCGGTGTTTCTGGTGATAATTTTCTCTCTGTTCCGCCGAAGAAATCTTGTAACCCAGCTGTTAGATGGCTGTCTTTTTGCAATATTGGCAACATATTTTTTAATCATCTCTTGGGACGGTGGAGTACTACGCTTAGAGAGTTTTTCTATGTGCTGGACAAGGTATTTCTCTTGTTGTGGTGAGAGTAGTCGTCGTGGGTGTGCAGCGGCTGCACGCGACCGCGTTTTGTTTTGGTGGCGACGCGTTAAAGTTGATGCCGCAACACCATATATTTTTGCAGCTGTACGGTACGAGATTTGTCCTTCTAGACCTTGCGAATTGATTGCCGCAAGCGCTTTTTCGATAGCTGTCATGGTGGTGGAGTTGTGGGGATTTGAAATTGGTGGGTTCTACTTTGGGAGATGCAGGGGGTGTTGCATTGTCTGACCCGTTGCACGCATTGACCACCCACACTAGCGGCACCGGCACGCCCGCTCCGCCATCATCATGACCTTGTTCTGGAAGGCCATTACCATCGCTTGTTGCAGACCAATCCAACCTCTTCCGTCAGGCCTCCGTCAGATCAAATGAAGCGAAAAAGAAGAATACAATGCTCATGTTGATTTTTGCATCCAGGCCAACACCTGCCAGTCTTCTTTCCTTGGCAGTCTTTTGATTCGCAAATGCAATTTTGCCGCTCATGCGCGCCAACTGCGCGGATGAGATGAATCCTGGGCGGCCCAACCCACTTGGCAATCCTGCGGGTTGGCATCGAATCAGGCACGCTGCGGCTGGCGGGCTGGGACAAGTTATTCCATATTTCTGTTCGCGGTGGCGGCCAGCCTCTGCAATCATCCATGGCGAAACCTGTTGGAGCCAAGTGCCTGGACAGCCACGCTAGAAAGGGACCATCAATTTCAATTCCATACTGCAATGGGAGAGATCAGCATTCTGCGAAGCATGGCAAAGTCTAAGGCCTCGGTATAGCGCGAGTCATGCTCTGGCGCTCGAATAGTACTGGCTTCACATGAGCCGTGTGTCGTACATAGAACCCGGTACCTTGTCAACCCTTTTACAGACATGCCACTGACAAGACGAGGCTCCTGTACATTCTTAGGCTCGGAAACAGCTGCCCGAACCATGTGTTAGCTGCATGCACATGCAAATTAGTACGATGCCCTTTTTCTACAAGTCCCCCATATAGACCCTTCTCAGTACACTGGGTTTCTTGTCTCGACATTCCACAGCTTTCGCTTCATCCCCTCGTCGACAATGCTTTTCTCGGGTATTCCCACGGCTGTGCTGGCGCTGGCTGGTGTGGTCCAGTCTGCTGTGCTGCAGCCCCGCGACCTTCTCCAGGATTTGCAGGATCAAGCGATTGCGGCGTTGAAAGAGGCGGAGACCAATGGAACCGTTGGGAAGAGGGGGAGCTGCTCCGTCTTCAATGCCCCTGTGAGGAGAAACTGGTAAGTTATGTGACACTGGCTGTCCGTGAAAGCTGCCAACCACTTCGCAGGGACCACATGAGTGCGAAAGAGCGCAAAGAATACATCAGAGCTGTAAAATGCTTGCAGTCTTTGCCTGCAAAGTCCGACCCAGCATTGGTACCTGGCGCCAAAACCCGATACGATGACTTTGTCGGACAGCACATCAACCAGACACTGTCGATTCATGGCACTGGCAACTTCTTGGCCTGGCACAGGTACTATACATTTGCCTATGAGAAGACGCTGAGGCAAGAGTGCGGCTACAAGGGTTACCAGCCTTACTGGAACTGGCTCAGTTACCAGGACGATGTGACAAAGTCTCCTGTGTTTGATGGCTCCGCTACCAGCATGGGCGGCGATGGCTCTTATGTCAAGCACAACGGAAGTGTTGCTGGCGGTGGCAACATTGCTCTGCCTTCGGGTAAGGGTGGAGGATGCATAAAGAGTGGACCATTCAAGGAGTGAGTACCGCTATGCCATGCTCAGTGTTTTACCAATTGACCCTGTTAGTCTCCAAATCAACCTCGGTCCCGTGAGTCCAGCAATGGATGGAGAAACTAAAACCCCATCGCCACTTGCCTACAACCCCCGCTGTGCAAAGCGAGATATCACCTCCTACTCTGCGCAAACCTGGCTGACCGCACAAAACATGTATAACATTACCATTGGCCCTGCATCCAAGAACATTGGCACTTTCCAGGACGAGCTCCAAGGTCGCTTTACCCAGGGCTTCTTGGGCATGCACGCCGCTGGTCACTATGTCATTGGTGGAGACGGTGGCGACTTTTACAGCAGTCCCAACGACCCTGTCTTCTTTCTGCACCATGCCATGGTCGACCGCGTGTGGTGGATCTGGCAGGCTCTGCACCTCAACCAAGCGAGCTCTGTTGCCGGCAACGTCGCGGCGTTCAACCCTGGAAGCGCAAAGACTACCATAAAGGATCTTGTTCAGATGAACTGGCTTAATGTGGATGACAAGACGCTCGAGGAGCTGATGAGTACGTTGAGCGGAGAGCCAATGTGCTATATCTACTTGTGATGTGGGATAGAAAACTGTTTTAGAGAAAATTAGTCTTTAATATGTAATTCTCCAGCTTGAATGAGAGAAACAGCGACAAATGATCTGCACGTGAGTGAGTAAGGTGGTTTAGCGGCAGTTGCACTAAGTGTAAACCAGAGTAAGTACATGTCCACTGATTGGCTCGATCACGACCCGACATCGAGTCAGGCCCATCGGTTGCACGACATCAACCCGTGTAAACAACTGTGTATATCTCTGCAAAACCCACAGTGCAATGACAAAACCAATTTCCATCGTGGGAGCAGGCATTGCGGGCTTGACGCTTGGCCGCAGTCTTCTCCGCCGCGGTATTCCTGCAATCCTGTACGAAAAAGCCGCGTCAAAGCCCCGATTCAACTACGGCATCACTCTCCACGCGACCACATACAGGCCGCTTCTCAAGATCCTCGACATCGACGAGGACGTCTTCAAGAGCCGGGTAGCTGTTGATGTTGAGAGCGGCGGCTCCGGAAAGATCGGACCAAGCGTTGAGCTTCCGAGTCATGATGGCCTGTATGACACACAGTCCTCGTTTCGCGCCAACAGAAGCAAGCTAGAGCAATTGCTGGGTGAAGGTCTCGACATTCGATGGCAAAATACGCTACAGAGCATTGATTCCTCTCCGCAAGGGACCAAGCTGCGGTTCCTGAACGGCAAGACATGCGCTGCAGACATCATCATCGCCGCCGATGGCGTGCATTCTAGCGTTCGGAAAACGGTGTTGCCGTCAGCGCAGATAAAGGTTCTCCCATACATTGCATTCAATGGAAAGAGAAAAATCAATCGCAAGGCTTTCGAGGCAGTCTACGGGCCCGCAATGACAGAAAGCGCAGTCATTGAATCGAAGCACAACGGTGTGGTCCTCAACATTAGCATCAATGAGAAGAAACATGAAGAAGCAAGCATCAGCTGGATCTATTCCCGCGCCGTGCGTGGCGACTCGGATCCCCTGCATCGACCAAACCGATCCAACGAGGATTCCAAAAAGACGCCCGAAGAACTATTCCAAGAAGTCCAGGCCCTCAAAGGACTCCAGCCCCCCTTCTCAGACGTTTTTGATGCGCAGAAGATGCGCGAGGACAGGATACTACATTGGCTCATGCGAACCGTTTTGCCGTCGTTTTCAGACCTTCAGACTCTGGCCCTTGAAACCAGCGTGTACTTTATGGGCGATGCTGTGCGCGCTGAACAAATTATTGGTGGCAACGGTGCAAACGCTGCTATACTCGATGCCCTGGCGCTCGCGGAGAAGCTTGATAGCGGTGACGCGAAGACTATCTCGGAATGGTACGGCGAACGATATCCGGTGTGGACGAAAGGAGTCGAGCAGAGCCAAGAGAGTATAGACAGGTTGCATCGGTCATCGAGGCCGCTTTCTGGGAATCTCTGAGGGGGAAATAGAACTGTGTTGGCTTGTTCGATTTGAGCATCTACTGAGGTCTGAGGAATTGCAGAAATCGTCCAAAAATATGTACTAATAGTATGTTGGTTGACGATTGCCAGATATTCAGTATATCCAGGAAAAGTTAGATTTCCAATGCATGTGTAGAAATCACCGTGAGTTTGAGTGAAGAGCATACCAGGATAGCCCTTGGTCATTGTTTTAGTGGCAGTTTTTTTTAAGCCGCATAATACTGCCTACTGTATTCCTTGCGACCCCACTGGACTCTACACCCATGCACATGTGCACGACAGCTTGCCAGACTCATTTCCCAAGCAAAACCATCTCACACTTGCATCCACATATTTTCTGCCCATAGCGCCTGGGAAACTCCACATCTTGCTTTGTCCATGCTAGCGGAAACAAAGCAAAACAGGAATAATGGGGTAACCCACACACACACACACACACACGCAACTTTCCTATGCAGGTAGGTGTACTATCAAAAGCTGCATCATCTCCGAGAGCCCCGGCTAACCGCCACCATGCACTATGTACGCAAACAATATCCCATGCACCCGCGTCCCCCCACCCCATGGCCCTTTGCACCACACGATACCCTAGACACGGTGGCACCGCCAAGCAGAATACCCGCCGCCATCTACAGCCACCAATGTGGTACAGTACGCCGCGCCCGCCCGCCGTGCTCGCTGTCAGCTGTCAAGCGTCTCCACTCGGAGCTTCCCAATGTAATGCATCACGGGGGGGTGTTGGTGGGTAATACCGGGGGGGGGTCAAAAGATATGTGAGCGTATATTCATTTTCGCTCGGCAGGTTTAGGCTAGTGTTGCTCGGAATTGACGCTGTACAAGGGGCATGTAGGAGGGTAAAAACCCGCTTTTGAGGGGTCGGGCGCGTACGTACGTATATGTACTTGCGGGAGAGGCTTGGAACAAAAAAAAACAACGCCCTTTGAGCCAAGAAGGAAGGAAGTAGGTAAGTACGTGTTTCTTCCTCCTAAGTTCCAAGGGCGTAGGTGTGGAAAACGAAACAAACCAAGAGAAAGAAAAAACAAACTGTTTGTCACGGGGTAGAATGGGATTTTCTCGGCATCATGGAGCGAAGAAGTGGGCGGGTGTTGTTGGTGTGCTTACACACTAGTAAGCGCAGTGTTGGTGCGAAAAGAGCCTTGGGCGCCGTGCGCTTGGGTGTGCGGCGTAGGCGGCGTGGTTGATCTGCGAAGCCTTGATGTCCCACGCGAGGCATGGCGATTGACGGAGCTCGGCTGTGTTGTGGCGTGGAGGAATGCCCATGGCGGCGGGTTGGGTTGGTGGCATGGCTGTTGCTGTGCCGCGGCGGCTGTGCGGTTAGTGAGATGGCGAGGCAAGTAAGCAAGGCGTTTTGGGCATGACGTGGAAAGCATGAATGAGCGTGTTGGATCATGTAGCAGCATGGAGGTCTCGTGGTGTCTCTTTTCGAACCACCCAAACGGATGCACGGTCTGGTGATGTGTTCGTGAACAGGGTCGTGTATCATGGAGAGTGGCATATGGTCATTCATCGATTGCGACGGCGCGAAGGATATGCAGTGGACGAATCGAGCACATGCGAATATCTTAGAGTACAAGATGAGCTTTACACATCTATCCCTAAGTATAGATAACCAAGACCAGATATTCAAACACCATATGTCAGAGCGAATGCCAGAGTAAAATTACAAGAGTCGCATGTCCATGTGCAAGCAGAAACTGAAAGGGTATCGCGAACAAAACGAGAAAAGAAGAATCAGCAAAGCAAACAGATGCAGGCAGCCGCCCACGACCCCAGTCTATGATGAATAGTCATAGGCGCGCGCAATTAGCAGAGCCACCGAGAAACAAAGAAGAGAAATTCCCGCAAGAACCCATGACGACGATGAAGTGTTTGTGACAGTCTCGAAACGAGCGTCGTAAGCCCAGCGCTTACTTACTTGGGACCAAAGATCCAGTCTAAGAGGTGTCAGTGGCTGAATGAAACATGAAGGTTTGTTTGTTCTGTGTTTTTTTTTTCGTAAACTTACATTGTGCGGCGTACTTGACCTCCCATGAAGCAGGCATGCCCTTGCACGTCGCAGGCTTGTTACCCCCAGCAGTCTCGACTCTGTAGACGGTGTTGATGCCGCCTTGGCTAACGCCTGCTTTGTGTTGCAGGTAGAGCCATTGGACAGCAGGAAGGCCGTTTGTGCCTGGAGTTGCACCCGCCGGTGCGTCAATGGCGCCCATCTTGGCGACCTGGGTCATGGGGTATGGCGCAACCATGTGGTCCAAAGCAAAGGTGGGTGTGCTCGTTCCATTGACATTGGCGAAGAAGTGATGGCCCACAACATCCTGGAAGCCTTGGCCCTGGAGGCAGGTGGAAATGTAGTCGGGAGCCCACTCGTAGAGCGAGAGTGCGAGAGACGATATGGATGCGATCATGCCCTTGGCGTCTGGGCTGCCGTTGAGTCTTGAACCAATGTCGTATAGAGTAGCTGATGCCAATTAGCACTGCTGCCATGTACATGTGAAGACAACCTTACCAAAAGCACCAGTGGTGCCAGGAGCCATGCTTCCGTCTGGTGTCTCACAGGTGTAGTTCTGTGTACCGATGCCGAGCACAACGTACTTTAGTGTCAAATCATTCGGGGCAGAAAGGTTACTGTGAGGGAAGAGAGAGGCGAGCTTGTCGAGGTTCTTAGCAGGTGCATGCTGCTGCGGTCTGGGAGGCGGTGGTCGAGCAGCAGCAGGGGAAGCAGAGGCGGCGAAGAGTAGTGCCGTGGTGATTGTAGAGAAGAGCATATTGGCGGTGTTGGTGCAGATCAATGTTGTTGAGCAAGCGTGGTAATGAAGTAGAATAAGAGGATAGTAGTAGCGTTTTCTTCGCCGGAGCTGTCAAGGGCGTACGTATTGCTGGTTGCACGACTTGTCGAGGCTGGCGCTTCGATAAACTTATACCCTCTCCACTGCCCTACGCGCTTGGCCGTTCAACGGGCGGCCGACGTGGGCGGGCGGCACTCCCACTCCCATGTGGATGTACGTCAACACAGACCACGGTGCCGACCAGATCATTTTGATTAATCCCTGAAGCGACATGCACGCCCGACTGGTGAGACCTGGACATGGCTCTAGCGTGTCAGGGTGGCTCTTCTTGTGCATGCTCCCTTGCCGCTCCCGGCGGGCTGGGTAAAAAGGCTTCTACCTGCCATAAGCGCTGATAGGTGCGAGAGTATAGAGGATCCAAGCCAAGCATGTGGAGAGCGATACGATGCGTCCTCTTGCTCTCGTCTGTGGTGAGCCTCGATGCGCCCATGTGAGGCTGATGGGCGTGGGCATCTTGGACAATGCCTCCATGTCCAAGGCAGAAACCAGCCAGGCCGCGGAGAGGGAGCCCCAAGGAGGCGGCGTGGTTGTCTCTTCATTTTTAGCACTCACCAGCGAAGGATGCTGAGGTTTCAGCAGCAGAGTCTTCAGACGAAGACCAAACACCGGCACCGACTTTGGTAGCCTGGAGGCTGGGTTTGCGCTGGGTTTGCGCTGGGTGGCCGAACGGGAGGCGGGCGTGAGGCGCTGCTCCCTCGCCTTTCACCGGTCCGTGCGCTGCAGGCGCCTTGCATGCACACGGCTGGCAAAATGACCTGATCTGGCCCAACAAAGACCGCAAATGACCCCGGCGCGGCATGCACGCTCTATCGAATGGCCCGCTTCCAGCCAGAATGTGGGTTAATTAGCTGGCATTGTCGGGAAATGCGGCAGCCATATCTTCTGCCGACGATGCAACCACCACGCTTGCGCCCCAGACGTGCGTGGTACTTATACGAAGACACGCTAATAATCGTGGCCTGCCGCGGTCTAGAAGCAATCTCCCACTCACGTCAACAGTCCAATCAAACTAACCTTCTTCTGTAGGTACTACGTGTGCACGGCTTCCACGAGCTTTTCTTCTTTCCATTCCACTGCTGCCTTTTCCTTCAGTGTCTGATGCCTTGGTGCCAGTCAGGGAGGGATTGCAATCAATTTCAAACTCTAACTAGGAATAAGCTTCTCGCTTCCTCCAAACCGACATGGACTGCTAAGGGTTACTGAGGGCTTTTGCCCCATGTGGATTAGTTGATGCCATGATTCGGCGCACCCCTTTGGCTAATACCAGGTGTCTACTGTACCCTCGCTGGAACGTTGGGATAGCCCTTCCACGTAGCCTTACATACATAGTAGGACTGCAGCGTGGGCCTTGTGAACCATCTCATCGTGTACCTGCCGATTGTCCGACTGCTATAGCCAGACGCATCTGTCCTGAGGCTCGTCGTGTGAGGGGTTGAGCACCTCGTATCTAGGAAACACTCGAGCTTGCGTGTTTCTGACCCATTTTTCCATACATGGACAGACAAGGGTTGGCCTGTCCAAATCCCGGACACTGGCGAACATGTGCACCAACACCTTCCCAAACTAAATTGTGCATGCGGACCTTTGCACAACAAAGGCGCCCTCCGGATCCCCCATCTCGTGTTGTCCCAAGCCGAAAACTGGGACCCTTCAGGAGTGCTTTTCAAACAGTTGCACGCACAACTCCTGCGTAAGCTGCACAATGGCACTCGAAACTGTGACACCCTTCGCGGCGGCCACTGTTCCGCGTGCTGCGTCTGCTGGCCTGCAATTTGTTTCCTTCCAGACAAGCCAGAGTTGATACCTTAGGTGTCGAGAGTGTATCCAGATCAGGCGCGCACACACGGATCTTCGTTCCGGGTCTCAGGGCGCATTCTTGCAGTCGCCGATTGCTGATTGTAGAATGCAGTTTTTCTGCTCGTAATGGCTTGGTTTGTTTTGGATTCTCTACCCGATGCTGACTCTGGTCGAGTGTGCGACAACTTGGACGTGGAGGAGGACGAGTGTCTTGGATTTTCAGCTGGGCAAATCCAAAGGATCGCCAAAAGTGGGGCTCTCTTCCCGCCACCACTCTTCTCTTCCATTTCCCGCTTCCCTGACAGCTATGCTCGTCATGACTGCGAGTCACCACAGCCAAGACCAAACAGACTGTCAATCGGCGCACACTCTTGCTCTTGACAAGTGCCCGTGGCTGTAGTGCTCAGACATGGACTTAGCCTTCGTACCCCTGGTTAGCATGCACCCGGTTGTGGCAGGCGTTTTGCTTGTTGTCGTGGTAAGAACACCTTCTACTAACACTTTGCACAAGCTCACAAAAGCACAAAGTCAACCTTCGTATATGGCTTCTATAATGCTTTCCTGCATCCTCTTCGGAAGTACCCCGGTCCACTGCTTTGGCGGAGCTTCCGCTTTCCTTATGTCGTCTCCACCCAACGCGGAGAGATACATAGGTGCTTCACCGAGTTCCATGCCAAGTATGGACCAGTCGTGCGTGTAGCACCAAATGAGCTGTCCTATGCCGATAGCCGGTCGTTGAAAGATATCTACACGAATCGACCAGGACACCAGCCCTTTGAGCGAAACCGCACCACTTTTAAGAAGATGTCGCCCGAAGAACCAAACACAATCATGCACTGGCACGAAGAAGACCACGCGAGGTACCGGCGCGCTTTCGCAAACGCCTTCTCTGAGAAAGCCCTGAAAGACCAGGCCCCAGTCATAGAAGAGCATGTCAACCTGTTCATGGCGCAGATGAAGAAGCGCAAAACTGTAGACCTTACACAGTGGCTCAATTTCGTCACTTTCGACATTTCCGGTGACCTTACCTATGGCGAATCTTGGGGCTGTGTCGAGAAGGGAAAAGCACATCCATGGGTCGAAATCGCGCAGGATTTTGGCAAGGGCCTTGCGCTGATCGGATCCGTCAACCGTTATCCACCCATTGACAAGATCCTGCGCTACATCATCCCCAAACGAATCCTCCAGAGAAGTATGGACCACCGCAAAATGAGTATCGAGCAGGCCAAGAAACGAATTTCACTCAATGTAGAACGGCCAGACTGGGTGACGCCAACGAAAAAGTATAGTGACCAGAAAGATCCCTTCACCGACATGGAATGGGGCTTGAATTTGATGGTCGTGGCTTTTGCCGGCAGTGAAACGACAGCCAGTGCATTGACTGCTATTATGAGGATGCTGGTACAAAACAAAGGAGCTCTTCATCGCCTAACAAGTGAGATTCGGGAAACTTTCCAAAACGAAAGCGACATGACCATCGCGACAACCGGGAATCTGCCCTATCTTAACGCAGTAATCCAGGAGGGCATGCGTGTCTGTCCACCAGTTGTGGTTGGAGTGCCCCGTGTCGTGCCCGCGAGCGGAGACATGGTGGGCAATCAGTGGGTTCCCGGCGGTGTAAGCTACATGTCGTTACTTTCATATCCTGCAAAGCTGACAAAATGCGCTCTAGACTTATGTAACCTTCAACCAGTTCTCTGCCTTTCGCCAGTCTTATAACTTTTCTATGCCAAACTCCTTCATTCCAGAGCGCTTTCTGACTACACCTCGGAAGGGTGACGACATGGCTGTGTACCAGCCTTTTCAGATTGGCAGACACATGTGCATCGGCATGAAGCTCGCCAATCAGGAGATGCGGTTGATACTTGCTAGGCTTCTGTGGAGTTTTGATGTCACCTTGACGGATGAAAATGATAGATGGGACTGGGGTGACCAGAGCACGTATATCTTTTGGGTAAGTACATCATGTCCTGGTATTGATTACATGGTTGCTAAAAGCAAGATAGGACAAGAAGCCGTTGGAGGTTGTACTAAAGCATGTGAACAAAGGACTGGGACAACAGTGGATGTAGTGGATGTCCGCCTTTATCTCAATATCTCGCCGTCTGTTATTGCTAGTCGCATTACGATGACCACAAAAAGGGCAATGGCTCATTCAAATGTATTGGTAGTTTCATCATCACATTGTTACCTCAATCGGGTTCAAGGCATAACATGTAGTCACCAACTATGTGTCGATCACGTGACACAACACCAGGCCATATGCAAGCCGTGGGGGGCGCACTCGAGTATCGTGATTTGAAAGAACAATTTAGCGCGCAGAACAAAGGACTTGTACCGCATTGTCAACCATAGTGATACACTCTGCGTCGCAGCCACTCAAATACTCATGACGCACTCTTGCGCGCCTGAAGGGCCTTTGCATAAACCTCTAAATCAATGTTCCCAGCATCCCACATAGCAACAGCTTGCACAAACACACCCTTCTCCTTTCTCTGCTGCACGTAGCCGATGACGTTGAGCCAGGTTCCCACATCCACGTCCCTCTGCTTTGCACGCTCCAGCACGTGCTCAATGTCGAGGTTCGCAACAACGGGCGAGGCCGAGACGGGATGGTTGTGTGTGAGGCGAAGGGTTGCCGTCTTCACAAGGTACTCGTCGACACTGCGGCGCTGGTCAGCTGCTGCATGTTGTGTTAGTTGTGCGAGCGTCAAAGTACCAGCCCAGAAAGCGGACTTTGCTGCCGGGAGCGCATTGCGGGAGGTCGCTCAACAGCACCAGCGTCGACGGAACGGGGCCAGACATGTCTTGGTGAAGGCGCAGAAGGCGGTAGAAACTAAGGCCGGGGTCCGAGGCGCACGTGCCTTGACTAGCGCGAGCGACATCATAGCCTCGTGCATCCAGGCCCGAATCACGACCAGCCAGGCAGCCTTCAAACACTTGACCACCGCGCCCCCGACTCTCTAGACACACATACGTCGCCTCTGCCCACGACTCCTCCAATAGTCCTGCATCCACACACACACACACAGTACGTCGAGGCCGCACAGCACCCCGCAACCCCGCTATCCCACCTTTTGATAGCCGTCCGACGCACCTGCCCAAGCCCGCGAGAGGCGCCGGCGATAAGCCCAGAACTGACTGAGAATCGTAGAGCTACGCCACGATGAGCGGCTGGGGCCTGGGTTGGTTTGGCGGCGGCCAGGCGAAGAAGGAGGCGCCCAAGAAGGCCATCCTCCAGCTTCGCGGCCAGCTCGAGATGCTGAACAAGAGGGAGAAGCATCTGCAGAACCAGATGGACGAGCAGGATGCCTTGGCGCGCAAATATGTGACCAGCAACAAACAAGGTACTTGGGTGCCCAGTGTCGGGTGTGCTGGCGTTGCTGACACCCCATGACAGCTGCAAAGCTAGCGTTGCGGCGAAAGAAGCAGTTTGAGCACTCTCTCGAGCAGACGAGCTCGCAAATCATGACTCTGGAACAGCAAATCTACTCGATCGAGTCGGCGAATATCAACAAGGAGACGCTGGATGCCATGAAGAACGCCGGTTCCGCCATGAAGCAGATACACGCCGGCCTAACCATTGATAAGGTCGACAACGTCATGTACGCCCTTTCCAAGCGTTCCCATAAACTGGGCCAGCCGCTAAAGACATGTGCAGGGACGAGTTGCGCGAACAACACGCCATCGGCGAAGAAATCAGCGAGGCCATCACCACGAGTGTTGCTCACAACGGTATTGACGAAGACGAGCTGGACGCGGAGCTGGCGGAAATACAACAAGAGAAGCTCGACGAGCAGATGCTCAACACAGGCAGCGTGCCCATCCACGACGCTCCTTCGAGCCAAAAACTACCACAGGCGCCCAATACGAATCCCAAGGCGCCACAGCGGGTCGAGGAAGACGACGAAGAGGAGGAGCTGCGGAAGCTGCAAGCAGAAATGGCCATGTAAGCTGCTGTGTTTGCAGATATATCCCCAAGTACAGACACGGACATGGCAAGCGGAGATTGGTCTTCAGGCGTACGGCGATGCGGTCAGAAGCGACATTTTTGGGGCTTCAGCCACTTTTTCGTTTTTTCTTTCCTTATATGTAATGGCGGCATTTGGGCCTTCTTTGGATCTCCATATCAATAGCACTCAACCAAACTTGAAGCGAGGGTTGCGCGCAGCGAAGAGAAGGGGGGAGATTGGGACATTATACCTTGCAATACCAGACGCATTCACCTTCGGATAGTTCCCTATTGAGTTGACTGGAGACTGGTGCATTGCTTCAATATGGCATGATAACCAATGGGCGCTTTGGAATAACAGCCTTGACCACTCTTCTCTGACAACAGCCACATGAGAGGATTCAACGACGACAGACAACAATCTGCACTGGATGCATACGTGACATAAGCCCGAAACCCATTTTCACTTACCAGACCAAACTATGCAGCTAATGCACTGATCCATGCAATTTTGAGACGACGAGAAACGAACGAGTCAAGTTATTGAATCTTAATGTTCCACTCCCTGCTCCCTTGCTCTCAATAAGTCGATACCATCTTCTCATTCTTCCCCTCTCAATACACACACACACACACCAGCGATGCATGCGAGTCAAAAAGACCGAAAGCAAGGAGAAAGAAAAAAAAACAGGTAAGACAAGAAAGTAAGTAAGAAAGCTACTATGCCCAAAATTTGACTTTTGTAATATTGTTTTTTTTGTTTTTTTTTTAGAAAAATTGACCAACCCAACCCCATCCCAACCCAAACAGAACCAATCCGAAAAAGACCGATAGCACCTCGCTAGGTAGCAAGAAAGAAAGAAAGAAAGATAGAAAGATAGAAAGGAAGGAAGATAGAAAGAAAGGTATGCCAGAAAAAAAACCCCCCCCCCTAACCACACCCAACCCGAAGCGACGCTGTGATGGGTATTTATCCGAGTATACACACAAGTTTTTTCACCTTTTGCAACCTTTGGAAAAAAAAAGAACCCCAAACGAAAACAAAAACGCCAAAGTAGAAGGAAGAGAGGGAAGAAAAAAAAAGACATAATGTAAGTTTTTTTTCATATGACACGTTCATTTTAGGCCTTTGTTTTGTTTGTTGGGATGATTTTTGTGTTTCCTGACCGCTAGGAGGAAAGGGAAGGGAAGGGAAAGGGGGGGAGGGGGGGGGAAACAAACGATTTCCAAATCACCGAGACCAAATCAAAAACCAAGAAAAAGAAAAGAAAAAAGATGCTGATGCGTAACAGAGATGCAGAGCTGCTAACATATGATGCATTTTTCTTTTAATCCGTTTCCTTCCCCTTCCCTTTGCTTCCTTTCCCAAAAGTAACCGAAAAGAGTCTATTCTTCTACTCTGTTTTGGGTGCCTCTTCGCTCGGCTCGGCTTTGACCGACTCGTCTGCGTGAGAAGGACTGTCTGCGTTCAATTCGGTTGGTGGGCGTCGCAGCGGAGTGCCACTGCTCTGGACGGCAGGAGATCCAGGGACAGGAGTGATGGGCTCAACGCTTGGGCGATGCGAAGGGGTCGCAGCAGATGCAGGTACCTGCGCTGCCGTTGATGGCGGCGCTGTAACTGGTGATGCTGGCGGCCCGCCCGTCATGTTGGGTGTGAATTTCTGCGGCTCGCTGTTTTCGCGTCGAGGTGCTGGCGACGTCGTCTTAGTTCCACATGGACCCTGCTCGCCCGTTTGCGGTGGTTGCTGAGCCAAGGTATTCGCCGCGGCATCTGCGGCAATGGCTGCGGCAGTACCCGCTGCAGTGGCTGGCACAGTGACCGGCGTGTTCTCCGGCTTGACTGTGGGCGTTCTCTTCACATGCTTGTTGATGCTCTCTACACCGCATATTGATTCCAGTAACTTCCTCTCAGGTTCCGTCAAGCTCGCCTCAGGCACAGTCCGGTCCACGCAGGCTCGGATAGCATTGTCGACCTTCTTCTGCTCATCGGGGCCTGGTCTCTTTTCCAAGTACACGAGACGATACGCCTCGAGCTGACGAATGAGATCTGGGTGTACGCCGATTGGGTACCGTCCGGAAGGATGTGGTGTAGAGCCTTCATTTGACGAACCATGGTGCGCAGTAGCTTGCGTCGGCGGCGGGCCATATGGTGAGGCATTACGCTGCGCGGGTGATGCAGGGGGTGCATTCGATTGATGACCAGCTGCAGGGTATGTTGGGTATGGACGAGGCGGTGCTGGCCCATATGGGCTGGCAGCAGCAGCAGCATATGGTCCGCCGTAAGGACTCGGTGCCGAAGGTCCACTGTATGGTGATTGCTGTGGGGCAGCCGTGGGAAACAGTACACCATACTGCCCGCTTGATCCAGTTGTAGAGCTGGCAGGTGGTGCCTGCGAATTGGGCTGCGGGTACGGTCGTGGAGGGTTGGGGGCTTGCGGACTGCCGCCCGTGTTGCCACCGGCCCAAGGAGACGTGTAAGGCGTTGGATGAGGTGCATTTTGCGGCCCATTGGGAGCAGCAGCATTGCCTTCGCCACGAGCCATACTAGGGGGGAGACGAGGCTGCGCAAGGCTTGGCGGTAACCTCGGAGGAGCCTGCGGCATCGCATGAGCCATGCCTGGATGATACGGATAGCCAGGCTGGGGATAGGGTGGGTATCCGTTCGGAGGCTGGTAATACTGCGGTCGCGGAGTGTGGTTGAGCGGAGGGCTGGCTTGCCTCTTCCTGCGTTCCTTCTCGATTGACACCTCGGGATTGATGCGCCAAAGGTATCCCTTGCCCTCCTTGTCGCCCTTCATGAAAGCATCATGCTGGCCAAGATTGTGACGCACACTCGACTGCCAGCCGCTGGTAGTCGTTTTGAACTTGTACCAAGGATACTTGCGCTCAATGTAGGTATAGATGGACTGTAGGTTCATCTGACCAGTTGGCGAAGACGAGATGGCCTCATGAATGAGGACAACGTAGTTTGCCGTGGGACGCTGCAGCTGCTCTTCGGTGTAGTCTTCGATACGCATCTCAGGTGAAGGAGTCCGGGGTGGTCTGATGGGCTTGGCTTGTTTCTGGAGGCCAGACAGGGTTCCGTCGCCCTGTTCGGTTGATTCCATGACAGCGTCGTCGTCTCCATCGCCTGCGTTTGATTCTTTGCGCTTCGGCGCCTTTGGCTTGATGGTCGGTATAGGGATGTCAGCCGGATCAATACCAGCAGCCCTTGCCCTCTCGATATCCTTGGCCTGCTTGATGAGCTGAGATCGCTGGCGTTTCGACATGATACCATCTTTGGGCGGCCGTCCAGGACCCTTGCGCTTCTCGACAACGTGGCCAATGAGATTGCGGGGCAAATTGTGCTGTATGGCCATTTCTTCGGTAATCAGTCCATCGATGTCGCCGGCTTCGAGTTCACCTTCGTGGGGTTTGCGCAACAGAGGCGGGCTATCGTTTGGTGGAGGCTTGCTTGGCTGCTCCGGCTTGGCAGCCACGGGAATGTCCTTTACAGACTCTTCGGCCGGCGTCTCATCCTTGACAGTGGTCGTCTTTGCCGGAGTCTTAGCTGGCGCTTTGCCCTTTTCTTTGGGTTCCTTTGGCTCCTTGGGTTCCTTGGGTTCCTTGGACTCCTTGGACGGGGCCGTTTCTTTTTCTCTATGTTCTTTTTGCTCTTTTGCTTCTTTGCGCTCTTTCTGCGCTTTTGGTTCTTTGGCAGATTCACGGGCGGGCTCTTTGCTCTTGCCCGAATCTTTGACCTTGATCTTGACCTTCTTCGGTGGTGGCTCTTCAGGGGTGAGTTCGCGGGCCTGCTGTTTCCGCTTGTGCGCCTTTTTGCCGTCTTTGCATGTGGACGCTGGAGGAATGTTTTTGATCTTGAGTTTCAGACTCGTCTTCTGCCGAGGCTTTGGAACGGGCTCCTCGTAGTCGTCCATGTCTTCGTCGGCCAATGCATCGTCGTCGTCGCTGTCGCTCACCGGGTGGTGGTAGTAGACGTGGCGCGGGTTGACGCTCTGCTGGTCCTCGCTCTCCGAACTGACGTGCTCGTTGCTTTCCAGCTGGCCGTTGCCATTCTCAAACGAGAAGCTCATGGGCCGCGAGCCCGACTCTTGGCGATGGCGCTGCTGCTCGGTAAGCGCAACATCGGGGAGGTAGAAGTGGATGTTGACGGCGCCGATGAGCAGGTGGTCGCCATGGTCGAGCGGGACCGTCTCGCCCTTTGGGTAAAACTCGCCCTCGTGGTGCAGGCCGTTGTTGCCCAGGACGTGGATGCAGAAGTGGCCGGCGTCAAAGTCGAAGAAGATCTTGGCATGCTCGCGCGAGATGCCCTTGGGGCCGAGCGAGCCCGTCTTTGCCATGATTTGCTGGGGGTGGATGGGCACGAAGGGGCAGTCGTTGGGGTCCTCGGGGACGTGGCCGTCAAACTGGGCAGGCACCTCGGGGAAGGCCTGCATGAGCATGTTCTGGGGCGCGCGCTCGGCGGGCTTCTCGTCGTCCAGGTCGGCGGGCGGGTGCGAGGCCGAGCTGAGCGAGTGCGAGGCGTTGCTCTGGCGGCGCTGCTGGTACTCGATGGGCATCGACTCAATGGGCACGTTGACGATGCCGCCCTTCTCGGAGATGACGCTGCGGGCGCCGCGCCGCTCGCGCCGGCGCTTCTTCTTGTCCTTGCGGCCGCTGAGGTATGCCTCTGCGGCCTTGGTGTGGCCCTTTGCGTGCAGCGCCTCGGCCTTGATGAGGCGCTTCATGTCGCGGTGGGCGAGGTGGATGTTGCGCCCGAGCGTGATCTGGTACGTGTGCATGTAGTAGGAGCCGTCGTCGAAGCGCAGGCGCGCAAAGGCCGTGAGGCGCTCGTTGGTGGTGGGGGGCATGAAGGGCTCCAAGGGCATGGCGGCGGCGGCGGCGGCGGCAGCATTCATGTCGACGGCGTCCATGGGCAGGGCGGCGGGCGGCATGTCGGCGGGCAGCGGCGGCGGGGCAGCGGCGGCGGCGGCAGCAGCAGCAGCAGCGGCGGGCAGCGGCGGCGTCATGGTGTTGGCGATGGGCGAGTGCTCGAGGGCGGCGGCGAGGGGAGCAGCGCTGGCCGGGGCGGGGGCAGCCATGGCGGGCGGCGCATGGCTGGTCGCGGCGGCCATGGCGGCGAGGCGCTCGTGCTCGTCGGGATGGGTCGTGGGCGGCGGCGGCGGCG